GACACGAAGCTGGTTTGTTATGGAGGCATGTCACCTGTAAGCTCGTCTTCTAATCAAGCAACTTCCGTGATACAAGGTGCTCCCGCCGATGCACAACCCGAGGTGGTGGTCATGTCAGATGTTCACATCTATGATGCGCCGACAAAAACTTGGATGCACGTTTCTACAAGCGAATCTCCACAGGGTCGCTATGCTCACTGCGCGACCATCCTTCCTAGCTCGGCCGTTTTCAGTTCGACTGGAGCTGCGGTGACAGCCATACGACACAATCCACCTTCATCGAATCCAAACCAAGGTTCCCTGGGAGTGCAGTTGGATGGCGAGGGCGGTGCGGAAATGCTTGTTGTGGGTGGTCAGGACAGCGCCAATCACTACATTGAACAAATCAGCGTATTCAACCTCCGGAGTCTGAAGTGGACGGAAACGAGCACATTAGGCAGAAGTTGTGGCGCATACCGAAGCGTAGTCGCGCCCCTCACTAGCATTGACCCGAACGATATTGGTGGAGGAACACGACAGGGCAGTGAAGCAAGAACACCGGAAGAACGGAGTCCGAACAAGACTGGCGAGTCATCGATGCTCATTTATTCAAACTACAACTTCCTGGACGTCAAGCTCGAACTACAAGTGCGGCACCCCGATGGTACGCTTTCCGAGAAACCAATGCACGGCAATTTCTCGCCGCCAGGTCTCCGCTTCCCGAACGGTGGTGTTATCAACAACCACTTTGTAGTGAGCGGCACATTTCTGACATCGTCGAAACAAGAATATGCGCTTTGGGCTCTTGATTTGCGAACGCTGAGTTGGGGACGAATCGAAGCCGGCGGCAACATCTTCAGCCAGGGAAGCTGGAACAGAGGTGTGCTCTGGAACCGTCGGAATTGTTTCGTCATTCTTGGCAACCGCAAGAGGAGCTTGGTCGAAGACTATAATCATCGGCGCATCAACTTCTCGAACATGTGCGTTGTTGAGCTAGAAGCATTCGGGCTCTATGACAACCCACGCAAGGTGACGCCTGCGTCAGGGTTCAACTCTGTCAGCGCACCGCCACAGCATGATAGACTTGATATGCTTGCTGGTGGCCGCACACTTCTACCCGCAGCGACCGAGCTAGGTCAAATGGCGTTGGGTATGAAGGAACTTGCCGATATGGATTTCCTCGCTTTACATGGTGAGCGCATACCCGTTAATTCCCACATCATTGCTCGACGCTGGGGTCCTTATTTCAACCAATTGCTCCGCGAGAGTGCTCAAAGCGCGGAGAAAGAAAACGCTGAGGCGGCGACTTTACGGCCCACTGCCACAATGCATCCCTCGAGGAACTCAAGCATTACTATTACACCTTCTATCCGAACGAACTACTCAACAGCCACAACGCTTACCGCCAACACTATAACACCATCAGAGGCTACAGCTGTATCAGCGAACTCCTACTCCTCATTAAGCCCACCAGAACCTTCATCACACTCACCATCACAACGGCCTCGAACATTATTCCTACCTCACACTCATCTCACACTTCAAGCGCTTATACATTTCTTATACACATCATCACTACCACCACATAACTCCGCCTTATGTTCACCGCAGATTCTCTGCTCTCTCCTTCAATTAGCGCGACCGTACCATATCGATGGTCTGTTGGAAGCAATTATCGAACGACTTCACGTACTATTGGATAACAGGAATACCGCCGCCATCTTCAATGCTGCGGCCATGGCGGCTGGTGGTGGCTCCGGTATTGCTTTCAAGGGCGTCAACGGTGTATCAGGCACGAACGGGACCACAAATGGCTTCTCCAACTCAGTTTCGAGCAACAACAGCACAGTCGCGGACGTCGAACGAAGTCTGGATGCCGGTCTGCGCGCACTCCGCGTCAACACAGACGTAGATCGAAATCACGACGATGAGGTCAGTTCAGCGGCGTCTGAATCTACGTCGGCCTCGGCCTCCGATAGCGGTTTTGGGGATGGAAGTGGCATTGAAGACAGAGAAACCTGGAATGGTGAAATGAGCGCAGTGGTTGGGCTCCAAAAACGAGGTCTGCGGGGCCTGATGGAGGGTCGTAGAATCAGGGAAATGGGGAGAGGAAGAGATAGAAGCAGGGACGATGGTGGTTCCATAGGCAATGGTGATGGTGTAGGCCTTGGCCTACAAGGCGCTTGATCGATACGATGAGAGAAGAGGGGGAGGCAAGATGGTCATCTACATCGCGAGAGGGGGTTGGTAGAGACTGGCGTTAGTTCCTTCTTCGATGGGAAATCTTCATGATGATATGGGTGATTTAGAATCGTGATATAGGTGAATCAATATGATAAGTACTATGGTATCTATACTTCCGTCCCAATGTCGTTTCAGTTTTCCATTACGTCGTTCTTGAAGACTTCTCCTCGGCGCGATGGCGCGCTGGCTTTTCATACATCATATGCGTAGTCGTAGCCATCTGGAAGGACTGATAAAGAGTGGGTCCCAGTCTTTTTGCCCTGATGGCTTTTAAGCTGTCGTCCTGGTACTGGTATACCTGGAAAGGTCCTAGTTGGAAAGAAAGATCTTCGTGTCCCAACGGCCGATATCGTTGGGTTCGAAGACTCCCTGTGAAATTCGATATTTTCGAGGAGCAGAGTGTATACTGTACTCTGCTCAATGTGAGTAGTAGCAACGCGATGCGCTGGACAAGCCACTAAAATAGAAGAGTGTCTCTCAGTCGTTTTCTCAAACATAACGGACATCCCCTTTCGTGTTTCTCCAACTCTCTCAATGGCCCACCCTAGCAGCCTCAGGTACCCTAGGCATATAAGGTGGCGGAGCTTCAGATGAACATCTCCCATCCCAGCTCTCCGCCTTCCCGCCAATCACCCTTCCAGATGGTAAGCGCACTGTCGCTATCCCATCTTCACTTCTCAACACTCTTAGCCCGCTTCCCGGTCCGCCGTTCATGCGCAAAGCGCGTTCTTGGTCGTGTCTTCGACTCCGGCTGCGCACGTAGACTAGGCTGAGGACGACGCCGACGAAAGCGCCAACGAAGATGATGATGATGAGAAGGACGGTGCGGTGGGTGTTGCAGGAGGAGTCGTACGTGGTTTCGCAGTATTCTGAGCGTTTTTGGTGGTGTGGTGACGGTTTGAGAACTGATGAGTGGAGGAGATGGGGTGCCATTATTTGTATGGGTGTCGATAGTATGTAGATGTGTATAGTATAAGGGATGTACCAGATGCAGGCCGTATACACACAGTAGGTACAATCGAATCTCTCGTGCGTAGAAGTCCTTGGTATGAACAAAACACCCCAAAGCGCGAACCCACACCCTACATATCCCTTTTCCCACTCCCCTCTCCCGGTCAATCACCTCCCTCCACATACACAACTAACAACAAACCACCATCTCGGCCTGAAGGCGCAGCAAGCAGCCTCACACGACTTGTCAATCTGCCAGGTTCCCGCTTACATTTGGTACCGCGCCTCAATAAATCTGAGAAGAGACATGCTTGCGCCGTGCCTTGCCTCAGGCGTCTAAACGGGGTTTCAGCATGGGCGTTCTTTCGTTGGTTGCTGGCTTTGCGGATGGGTGGTTGCATGCACTGCCCCGCGGCGTTGGGCCTTGGAGGCAGCCTCACCGGGCGGGATTCAGCGCGTGTGCGAGCGAGGCGCTGTGGGTAGGCATGCGCTCAGCGTAGGCTTTCAGTGACATTGTTATCGAGATGGGCGGGCACAATGGGGTATTTTGGTGAACAAAAGGCGTTGTTGGAACAATGCACTGGGTGCAGTGCGGGAGGCAGCTGCGATCGGCAGCTGCGACCGGCTTGCCTGAAGCCCGCGACACCATCCTTTCAGCGGCTGGCGTTTTGGCGACCTTCACGCAGCGCGCACATCTCTTTGATATTTCCGCCCGCGGCGTTGCTCTACTCCAGAGTCGCTTATCAACTCCCGTTCTCAACTTTGGACGTTTCAACTGCACTGTGAAGGTTGTTGGGCGGCGCTTCGCGACACAGAACTGTGCCGTACGGGGGGCTTAGCTGTGCCTTCTTCGCGCAACATGTGCCTCGATGTTAGGCATCGTGTGATCGCGCAATTGTGCCTAGGCGGCCTACAAGGCGGTTGCTGAGCGATCAGGCCCAGAGCGGTTCATCACAGAAGGCAGGGCAGGGCGCAGTTGGCGAGGCTGTCGCAAGTTGAGTCAAGACGTTGCTTTCGGCATGCAGATGACCAGGACGGTAAGTGAACGCAAACAAAGTGGAATGAGAGCACGTAGCGGTGCTTCTTTTGCTTTCACCATCAATTTGTTTTCTGCACGACCGCGTGTTGGACATGGCTTTCATGCTCTCTCAGACCATTAGAGAAAGCCATCACAGCCTTCTCAGAGTCTATATGCAGATGGTTCATGGTTGCGTCTGCAGCCAAATCCATGAGATAACGAGCTCATATAGTAACATACATTGTCATCTCGATAGCTACCTCAGCGAACTGGTGCTGTCCAAAACCGCGTTGAGTGACTTGGACTGTGCACTCATACGCGTGTGTCAAACTTCACGCGCACCATGGACCTTTATGTCCCGAACCCGAACTGGATTCTCGCCTCGAGGCCGAGCACCCAACTGGCTCAGGGTCCACGCCACGCTGGTCGACATGGGTGACGTTCCAAAAAGTTCACTTGGAATCCCCCGCGGGGACCTTTCGGTATCCCCGATTAGGCAATCCACAGAAGATGCCGGGAGGCTTCCCCGCAAACAGAGCATCGCGGTCTTCCACAATCGTCCATGCATGCCGTGGAGGAAGACAGTCCGAGGCCAGGCCTATACCAAGAGAGTCCGGTGACCAGACTTCCGCCTGGAGCCGGTTTAAAAGTCCACAATGGCCCCGGCTTGCGTGGAATTGACGAACCGATCTCGCATTTCTTCTTTTGTATAAATACCCTTCCGCGAGCGACGTTGTTTACGCATACTTTGATCTTCAGTCCTGTTTCGTCTCTTTTCGTACATCGCTGATATTCAATGATCCAAACCATGCCTGCTACCCAAGGACTTCCAGAGTTTAGCCTAGCAGGAAAGGTGGTGCTGGTGTCGGGTGCTGCTCGAGGACTCGGTTTGACACAAGCCGAAGCGTTGCTGGAAGCTGGCGCACGAGGTATGCATCTCCACATGTCAAGAGCGACCGGAGGATATCAAACTGACACGCGCCTGCAGTGTACGCACTTGACAGACTCGAAGAACCCTCAGCAGACTTTGCGCCAATCGCCGAGAAAGCAAAGAAAGAATACGGAACCTCGCTCGAGTACCGCCAAATAGATGTTCGGGATGTGAAGAAGCTCCACGAGATTGTGGAGGAAATTGCCAACAAGGAGGGCAGACTGGACGGGTTGATCGCTGCTGCCGGTATTCAGCAAGAAACCACTGCGCTGGAGTACACAGCTGAAGACGCGAACCGCATGTTCGAGGTCAACATCACCGGTGTAATGATGACTGCGCAAGCAGCCGCGAAGCAGATGATCAAGTTTGGAACTGGAGGAAGTATCGTGCTCATCGCCAGCATGTCCGGTACTGTCGCAAACAGGGTATGGCGGTCCCAAGTCCTTACCGTTTCTCACACTAACAACGTCAACAGGGTCTAATCTGCTCAGCATACAACGCGTCCAAAGCTGGTGTAATACAACTCGCTCGCAACCTCGCATCGGAATGGGGCGAGCACAACATCCGCGTCAACACAATCTCGCCAGGATACATTGTGACGGCAATGGTGGAGGAGCTCTTCAAGAAGTACCCAGAGCGAAGAGACACATGGCCAACGCAGAACATGCTGGGTCGTCTGTCGAAGCCGGAGGAATACCGTGGTGCAGCAGTCTTCCTGTTGAGTGATGCTAGTTCATTCATGACTGGCGCAGACCTTAGGATGGATGGTGGCCATGCTGCGTGGTAGAGTAGATAGTTAATTGCTAATACGAAGTACAATGTCCAAAGCCCTGTTGCTTTGGGAATATGTGAAGGTGTTCTGTCCAATACGGAGCTTCGGAAGTCGGTGGGATGATGCTGAGTAAGCCGCGTGGCCGCGATTGTCGCAATGTGGGCAGGAGGGTTGGGAACGTTCGCTCTCGCCAGAGCGCGTTTGGTCGTTCTTTCTGCGCCATGAAGACTTCAAACGGGTGACAACAGCACGACTGGTAGGGAAACACCTGCCATGTGCCACTCAACGCCTATTCCATTATATTTACACCGCGGCGTAACCAGCTACCGCCCGTCCAAGACCAAGCATCGTTACGAGCATGACGGCGTCTACGCCCTCTACCCTATCCCGCTCTAGGAACGCCATATTGTTCCTCGCCGGCGTATCCGCTGCATACGCGACATATCTCATTGTCACCAACGTCCAGAGCCCCGGCGCAGGCGATGGCCTCCAGCGCAGCAATGCGGTCCGTAGACGGCGTCCACGCGACCAGCCCTCGGCACCCTCACTCCCTCTGAACGAACGAGAAATACCATTTCTAGGCCTATACGACCTCCTCGGTTACCAGGTACCGCTTGACCCTCGCAATCTGGGCACGCCGAGCGAGTTGCGCGACACGATCCTGCGCGCGCAGCCACACGCCGACAATGATACGATAGAGCGTCTCACCGAGAGCTTCTACAACGAGTTCCTCGACCGCTTACTAGTCGTACTCTACCCAGACCGCGCTCTGTCCCCGTCGCAGGCAGATGATATCCGTATCTGGCTGCAACATCGCAACCCCGATAATGCAGGAGTGCATCGTGCGGCAGTAGCCCGCGCTGCGGCAAGACATGCGCAGATATTCCCTCCTGGCGATAATCTTGCTCTCGATGACGCCGAGAGCGTCGCAGCTACAGACGTTTCGTTGGGAAGCGACGAGGACGCGGATGACGCTATCGATCCCGAAGGCCAAACCCTCCAGCGCACGTTATACCACATTGCGGAGGATCGCGCAAGACTGGAGGGCGTCATACATCGTGGAATCACATGCAATGGATGTGACGAGAAGCCCATCCGCGGCACCAGGTGGCACTGCGCCAACTGCCCGGACTTCGACCTGTGCTCCAACTGCGAAGCAACTAACTCGCATTACAAGAACCACATCTTCTACAAGGTCCGCGTACCTGCCCCATATCTGAGCCTACAGAAACAGGAGCCGCTCTACCCCGGCAAGCCTCACATGATGAGCCCTTCGATCGACCCAGCCCTCAAGAGACGCCTCGTAGCCGAGACCAAGATGGAAGCAGAAGAGATTGAGGCACTGTGGGACCAATTCACTTGTCTCGCAGGCTCCGAGTGGGCGGGTGATGCAACTGGAGTAGGATGGGCCATCGATCGACGCGACTTCAACCACGCTTTCATCCCTCGCTATAACGGCTTCGTCGCCGCACCGAACCTCGTCTACGATCGCATCTTCGCATACTATGATACGGACAAGAATGGCCTCATCGGGTTTGATGAGTGGGTCAAGGGTCTGGACGGCATGCACGACTCTGATGTGAATGTCAAGGCCCGAATAGTCTTCAACGGATACGACATCGATGAAGATGGCTACATATCGCGCAAGGACGTACTACGCATATTCAGGGCATACTACGCCATCGAGAAGGAGGCTACACGAAACTACATCTCAGAGCTGCAGGACGAAGTGACTGTGCGAACAGCTTTGGACACAATACGCTCTAGTCAGCCACTTGGCTCTGCCTTCACGCCCCGTAATATGGCTGCCTCGAACGCCAACAACCCCCGCCTACGACACAAGCGGGAAGAAGACGCGATTACGACTCCACCGCTGCTTGAGCACAATAGCGATGTAGCAGACCGGGCTGAGATGATAGGGACCGCAGGTATCCATCACGTCGTCGCACCCACCTATATACCGCAAACGCCAGGGGAACAACAGGCGGACATCGTCACTCGGAGATGGGCCCGCAGACAATACTACATTGACGAAGAAGAAGGCTTAACGCGGCCCGAAGGGTTTGAGGAATCAGACCCTGGTGAGCCAGAGACTGCCGATGGTGCGAACGGAACGACTGAAGCCGCAGATACAAACGAAGACTTGGCCCGCAACAGGAGCTCGCGGTCATCTTCAAGGGTCCGCTTTCAGGACGACGTGGAGATGGACACACGCTCCAACGCCTCATCATCCAGGCCTGTCGGCGAGCGTTGGGGTGGCTATGAGATACCTGAGCCCGAGCAAGATCTTGGCAAAGAGGTACTGTATCAGGTTACGCAGCAGGCTTTTAACGAATTGCTTAACCCGCTTTTCCTTGAGAAAGAAGATATGGCCATGGACGCACATGAGATGCACAGCGAGCGTCGCGCAAAGGCAGCCGCTATCGACGAGCTGACTATGCACCACTTCACAGAAAGTAAGGCTGCTGTCGAAGCCATTGTTCACGTCGGTGCCTTTCGATACTCCAAGTGCATGATCGATAAATTCTGTCGGGCCCTTAACCATGTACGCCCTATTAAAAGCTTATTCCGCAATGGCGACGATACGCCATGCACTCAAGAAGAAGCATGCCGAGTGGTCGAAGAACTTTACGACAGTGTGGAAGCGAAAGTGCTCCAATCCGTGAAGGTTTCCAGGCCCACAAATGTTGACAACATGACGACGTGGAACACTTTGTTGATCAGGTCACGGCTTCGATCAGAGGTTGTCGATGCTACCATGGAGTGTATAGACAACAAAGGCTGGCTGATACCACCACTTGTGAATGAGAGTCTGCCTAGTATTCACAGGGATCCTACCATGCCTCAATTTCGGCCGAACTCGTCCAATCTTCCATCTGCAGGGACTTTGCAGACTACCTCGAACAGCTCTTCAAATAGTAGTGTCATTTCCGACACTGACACATCCTCGATAACCTCGGGCGAAGATATTATGAATCGTTGTTTCTTCATCGCGGCAGGCCACGATGGCCTGGAACGTTATCCGGGGCAAAGATCCGTTGGCGAAACTGAGCCCCTGATACCTGATGGTATGGACTCTTCTGTAGGGGCTCCTCCGCCTGACTCTTCGGTGCAACAGCAAGACAAAGAAGATGATCCCTACACGATCAATTGGCGATGGTACACCGACAATCCAGAGTTTTACTATCTCTTCGCTCAAGACTCTGAGGGCGTGGACACATTCCTTTGCGCTCGTAACCCGATCAATCATTCCGCGAGTCCACATGACCCTGAGGCGAATCAACTTAAGCCGTTGCAGCGCTCGATTCGACAGCTCGCTATGAACCCGAAGTCTAACTTACATCTCATAATGCTAGCGAGTCTTGAGGCTGTTGAGCAGGAGATTGACGAACGAAAAGGAAGCGGGCTGGTCAACTTCGAGGAGTTTTTGGAGCATATGAGGCAGGGCAGACTGAAGTTCCTTGAGGCTTGGATGGAATGGGTAAGCATGTGAACTCGTGAGCAAGAAGATGGGCGTCCTGCTATGTCCACTTCACTCAGACTTCATATGCTTAAAGGGGATCTTGCAATTCCGACACGCCTCGGCCATCATTCAGCTCACTGTGCTGACGATTACATCTAGCCTAAGGCACTAGCGATTCTCGGATTTGACTGACATCGCTTGTGTAGTTTCTACATTTAACGAGTCTCTCATTACGATTTCACAGCTTGGCTTGCGACTGAGGTGTTAGTCTGGAGCCAAATCTGGTTGGTCAAGGTGGCACTACGGCAAGGGATATACATATCCACGTGAGGAGGAGACAAAGAAGAACAAGCAGGCGCCAGTAGCTCTAGAAGTAGAGCCATTTAGGCCCCCAAAATACCCAGACCTTAGGTCTACAAAATGGACGCACAACGAGTCCCGAAGTTTTGTCCCGGCTGCTAGTCCGACATTTTTCATTCGCTTCGCTTACCTTAGTCTTCGACCTCAGCTGTATGCAAGCTCGCCCACCAAGCCTCATGCAACACTGGATATCAAGTTCCACATTGAGCCCGATACAGCGTTAAGCCACAATCCGTAACTGGAAGTGTTCCGTCTCTACCGTGGCGATAGTAAGCGACCAGCCGATGCACAGCCTAGCGATGACGTCCACCCGAGCTTCTCCATGGGTGATTCTTCTCTAGCTAACGAACTTCCAGCTGTAGAAGACCGTGTGACTCTGGCAAGGTAGTGAGTGGAGTAGGGCATCCTTCTCAAGCCATGTTATTGTTTCCCATTTCGAGGCTGCAGAAACGAGAGATGGACTCAGCGAGCCGGATATTCCAACCCTATGATACGAAGCCAATGTTCTCAAGCCTAGCGTTGGCGTTCGAGGTACTCTAGCGGCATGCATCAGTAGTGGTACCTCAAGAGTATATAAAGTCTCCCATCAACACACTTAATATACTTCTACTCACGCAAGTATTCAACACGACGTGACACCGAACCCATAGTCGAGCCATACAGCCATCATGAAACCCTCAACCTTTTTCACCTCAGCTATCTTCACCCTCGCTGCTGCCTCATCCTTCCCTAGCCCCGAAACACTGGCTACCAGCGACATATGGATAGGCCTGAACTTGAACAAATGTCTCGTCAACGCTGAAATCATTTCCCAAGCCAAGTAAGTTCCCGTTAATAACTACCATGGTTCTCTCCAAGACTTCCAGAACCTCGAATCTCCCAATACATCCGTCTAACAAACCACACAGTCTCGCCGCGCAAAAGGTCGTAGCCAAAGAAGTCATCGCCGCCTACAACGCCTGGGACATCGAGCGAATCCTCGGCTACCGAACCCCAGACTGCAAGCAAAACATCCTACCCGCCAGCTTGAACCGCACAGCCATGACCAACGACGAATACCGCGTATTCTTCAAAAGAATCGAGCCTTTGTACAAGAACTTCACGGTACACATCCTCTTATCTCCAAAGCACACCAATACAGCCAGACAACTGACCAAGATAACTATAGGCTAGAGTCCTACAAGAAACGCATGACCCCGAGGCACACACTTGCATTATTCACGCGCGGAGTACGGCGACAACTGCGATTGGACCTTATGGGAATGAGTACGCGCTTATCTTGACGTTTACGGAGGATGGCACGAAGGTTAAGTATTTCGATGAGTTTGTGGATTCGGCGTATACGCTGGATTATGGGAAGAGGTTGACTGCTGCGTTGGCGAATGGGACGGGGACTAGTCTTTAGGGGAGATGGGATGGTGTTTGTTTGTGGGGAATAGGTTTTACGATGTATGTGAACATATAAGAGTGGTAACAGTGCATCGTCTGAGAGATAGGTGGTCGTAATGTTCGTCTCTATTGTCTATATGTTTGGGCGAAGCCCTCGCTTCATGCACGTGCCGCGCTGTTATAGCGACGGCACTTCTAGTAGCGGTGGTCACTTGTATATTGTATGTCCCCGGCAACGATACATGGACGTCGTCCTGCGTTTGCGCAGAATGACTCCAGTGGGCCTCTGGTGCTGACTCTGGGACGACCATAAGAGGTGCAAGTCCCTAGTCTTTGCCATTCTTCTCGTATACATGTAGACAGCCGATGCATGTCGCAATGATAGTTTGTTGTTCTGTATCCAAGTAGGCAGCCTCAAGGTGCGATGTGAGGTATCGCTTGTTCCTTCAAACTCAGATTGCGACTTCTGTCCGTATCTGTCGTCTCCTCGCTCCATCTTCCTGTCGGTGTACGAGGTCGTGTGATACGTGCCTCGGCATCCATCTCTTCAAAGTCCTCCGGTTGTGCCGGCTCGCTTATGACCTTTGTTGTAGTGACCAGCTTGATGTCTTTTGTACCGAACCCACAGAGATCGTCTGAGCTTTCACTTCCTGATGGTAACGTAATCCTACTCTTCGATCGTCCTCTCCTTGTATGTGCGTTCGTCGCTTCGATTGTGCATTCGCCTCCAAAGCGCTTGGGCTTCTCGATCCAGAATGCAGCGAAGGTGTCCATGACGTCGTCGTCAGAGGGTGGCTCATCGGAGAATATCATGATGCGTCGGGTGCATGCGTATAGAAGTACATCTAGCCAACCGTTTGATGTGATCATTGCTCCTGATAAGCAGAGGCGAGCAAGCGAGGGTGGGTTGCCGGACATGGACGCCATTCGGGCGGAGGCTAGGGGAATAGTGCATACGACGTAGACGAGCGGGTATACGACCATGAGGTTTGCGATGGAACGTACGCGCTTGGCTTCTTCGGTCGTGTAGTAGCCGGAGCGGATTCGGATCGACAGCATCGCATAGATAATGGCGTATATCAGGACGTTTCCGAATTCACTGCAACAAGTGTTGGAGTAGTAATACGTCTTTTGGGTTTCAGGAACTTACAAGGCAAAAATCCAGATGTAGTGGGTCCATAACCGTAAATCTTCTAGGTCGTGATGGATCCAACACCATACTCCGGATCGTACGTAGATGCTTTGCCCATGTATACCAAGGCCGATTGAAGATACCCCCAAGATGAAGGCCCATAGAAGAAAGATGCAGATGTAGAAACTCCGTGGTTTCAGGCGGAAGTCCAAGATGACGGAAGCAAATGTGTGCAATCCGATAACGAAGCACCAAACTCCACTTCCCAAGTCACCCGTGGAGACCAGCCAGCCCTGCGCAAAACATATTGGATTGGTGACTTCGACGGATCCCAGTCGTAGCCATTCGACGTTCAGTAAGAAGGCAAGCGCCTGTTGGATGTCCGCCCAGAGGAGGTTGAATATCAAAATGACGAATTGGTTGCTTCGTTTCGACCGTAGTTGCCAGGATACCAGTTTATAGGTGAGTAAGAAAAGCAGTGCTACTGATGCAAAGAAGCTGATGAATCCCAGAGCGACAACTGAGCGTAACCACGGATGAATATGCGCCGGTAGTACGAACGAGGCCGATTCGACGTCCAGGGGTTCCCGAATGGTCATTGCGGTTGACGAACGATTGATCCTGCAACGTTTCGAAGGGTATATAGGGTACACCTAAAAAGAAAGAGGCCTCCGGCTGTCCAAAACTAACATGTCGAACCTAAAGTCAAAAATATATCGTAGGCGAAGTAAAGTAAAAATATGGCGTTTGACCGAGCACCAGCGCAGGCACAGAGAGGCACTACCATGGGGGCAAGCGGCGATGATGTACAATCGGCTTTAGGGCCCCAGCTTGCTGAGAGATGCCATGAACCCACGACAAGGAGTATCGTAATCTACAGATCCACTATAAGCTGGGGAGAAGAGACGCGATGACCCCGGTCCCCACCCATCAACGCTAGCGTCGCTCGTGGCATCCACATGGTCCTAGCCGCAGCGTGGGAAGGTGCTTGCTAGCCCACAAGCGTTGCAGCGGGTTGTATGCGAAACGTAGCAGGAGATATTCCCGGCGCGTGGGGATGCTCTAGAAGGCAGTGGCTTCAATCTTGCGCCCGCCGTTATGTCATCTTTTGCTTCGTGGTTTCTGCGCAACACGGTGGTCTGTGAAGCAACTCACCCGAAAGTCAACAACAGCTGAACCTCCCATCTGGGATGAGGGGAACAGAGCGTCATCTGACAGGCGTGCGATCATGCATACCACCGACCCAAAGACCGACCTGCGGCACGGCCGGCATTACTGTATTTTGAGTGTCGAAAAGTCTCGGCACCACTGAAGAGGGTCAGTGGCTTCGGCTGGGCCACGAGGAGCTCTTCCTTCGGTTAATGTGAAGGTCAAACCTCAGATCGTGGTTGGTGGATAGGCAGCGGGAGCTTGTGGAAACATCGGGTGATGACACACTCTCGCGCAATGAGCCGTGTTCTTCTCAACGACATCGTGTACTCATCGAGTCCAGGTCTCATGTCGCGGCGCGACTGCGGTCGTGATGAAGGTCACTACAATCTGATCGGCGCTAGCTCCGGATTATCCCCCAGGACAAGATTATCAACACCAGGTTCTCCTAACCAGGTTCCCTCTGGGTGCAAAACCACCGTCACGAAGCGAAGCACTGAATCTCACTAACATGATACGCTCTGAACACTGTACGTTCAATCTCACGCAAGCTTCAAACATCGGGCTATCCGAGCGTAGTGTCAATGGCCCGCGTGGCCCGCCTATTCCCAAAGCAGCCAGACTGCCGGCGGGCTCTGCGCACGGCTGCACACCAAAACCATGGCGTGCGCAGATTGACGACAAATGTGGTACCCTTCGACACATCCGCGGGAGATGGACGTGGGTATCTTTCTAGAAAAAGAGGTATGGAAGCCCTGGTGTGCACAGGCATCGAAACGCATCCGAGCCATGCGACACACGACTCGGAACACAAGATACAAGATCTTAATTAATCAACAACCGCTACTCCAATGAGCTCTTCTCGTCATGCTTTGAGGAGGGCCTTCTTTTGATGAGTACGCGCGCACGGCCCGTTAGCCTTTCTTTTACCCCGGGAAAAATGACTTGGCCGAGCACAGTCGCGATCCTTCTCAGCCAGCCAAGTGCCTACGCCCGATCATGCGTAATATCGCTCCTGACTTTCCGTTCGTGGAAAGTTGCTCGAGGAGCTTCAGCCTTGTATGACAATACGATGGCTCGCTGCACGTCAAACTTTCGGCATCTGCGTCCTTTTTCGCCTTCGGCCCGCTTCCCACGACTTTCTACCGACCGCGACAGAAGCTACCGCCCTGCTGGGCCAGTCCGAACTGGTTTGGGGAGGCAAGCGCGCATGTGAGAGAGGCCGTCAGCGTCTAGAGCACGGAAAAATTCAAAGTGTGTCTACCACGATGTGAAGCACAGGGCATCGTATACGCAAGTAGAGAGCTAGAAGTCAAGAATGCTTCTTGCTGTTCTAAGATGCTTATTTTTCGCCGCTATGGGCTACAGCGTAGGAGAAGACCTATTCACACCTGTTCGGTTTCTTCCTTGCATGGACAACAGCTTCGTGTCGCTGACATGCGCATCCGGCGCATCCGAATCTCTGCGCACGTACCTGGGTTTTGCAGATCTGACATCGATTATCTTCCTTCTAGAAGGTTTCCGCTATAGTTTAGATGCGTCTAGATATGCGTCACAGTTCTGCACTAAGCTCACTTGAGTGGATGCAGAAGAAGCGAGGCGTTGGAAAGGGGTACCGACTTCGGAGAAAAAGTAAAGTATTTCCCGCGCATAGTGCAGCTGCTAACTATGAAGAAGTGTCTTAGTCGATGGTGTAAATACACTGATTGCGCGATGTCTCTGGCCTTATCGCTATAGGAGAGAAGAGATGGACAATGCTACTAATCATCCAGTAGTTGGACAAGATTGACATCGGTATCGTAACAGGAATCAGGGAATCGGCCTCAACATAGCAAGTAGAGAGCCGATCATACGCCATGACGTGGATACAAAGACCAGCAAAGCCGACATGGTCGTCCTGCTAGATGGAGCTCATATATAGCGAAAGTCTGTTCGTGGCATCGAAATTATATCGCCTGCCAGATGAGGAAGACATAGATCGAAAGTGAGAACGACATCGCGTGCATATAAAGAATCTCGACTGGGTGTGTCCTTGCCGTAGGATTGTACTTGGTTCGCGTCATCAGTCTTGACGCCGAACAACCCGAGATTTTCCTTTTTTGTCCTTCTCTACCTTCACTCGCGCATTAGGGTCTGTGGTCCTGTTGTTCGCAATACGAATATCTGGGTTATTTGCTTGTCCACTCGTGCCAAGCACACGTCCTTGAGGTTCCTGGATGGCATTTTGTCGTGCGCTGAGTGTCACGACCGCCTGGTCTGAGAGTTCGTGCTGGTTTCCTATCGAGCTCACCGCATGCCGATATACCTCAGATTCATCGAAATTGAGATCGGTTTCGTCGGGGAGGGTCGGGCGGTTCATGTGCGAGACAGTACCATGAGTCTTTGAACCGCGTGCTGAGTACTACACAGGTGTCAGTAACTCATTCAGATCGTACTTTGCTGGATATGTGTACTTACTTTGAAGACTGTCCTAGGGGGTGGCGCCGCCTGGGTTGGAGTACTATACGTCGAGGCAGGCGTAGTAGTAGTAGTCGAGCTCGCTGCTGTCGACGGAAGAGGCACATAACCAGTGGTAGCAGGAGTAGCAGATGTAGCAGGAGTAGCAGGAGTAGCAGGCGTACTGATCGACCCGGGCGACTCCGTTGACTCCATTGGATTTTCCGGAAAGGTTCCACCGGAATTCGCCATACTCGATTTGTCGATAGTCTCTCGAAGATCTAGAAGAGCTTCGTGATGTGCTTGGGATATGTACAAGTGAAGCAGTCTTCTTTGCTTGTCAAGGGACTGGAAGGCCAATTGTATTTTGTCTTGCGATATCAAAGGAGTCCAGTTGATACCGCAGAACGTTCTGGGTTGGAGGAGGTGCAGCGCTTGGGATGCGAAGCCTGAGATACCGAGCAAGATAGGGAAGATAGGGTCGTCGGCTTGTTTGTCTTGGCCTGGAAGGCGATGAAGAATACTGAGTAAGAGACTGATATTGGTTTCCTCGTTGAGATAGATGGAATTACCACGTCGAAGTACAGAACACAGGCTGTGTAAGCGGAAGGCAGATGCAGTTACATATACCAGAAGCTGGCTGACACTCGCAGCACATCCAATGACTTCCATCGCTTTTTGCCGTGCCGTAGCCGGATAAACATGGGTGTTTTGATAGAAACGGGGGCCTAGACAGTTAAGAGGGTGTATTCAGCGCAGGTGTGCAGAAACAAGCAGGGCGCAGCTGCGATTGCCATATACTCGACCGGTCAATCGGTGCATCAGCCACGACTGTCGTGTCCAAAAAGCCTTTTCAGCCTTGTAAGTCGTGCCCGCGGAGAAGGAAGCCGATCGGTATCACAAGGCTCGGGCCATCAAAGTCGAACCGGTGAGGAGAGGGCTGACAGATTGTTACCGACAAGTCCATATCCGGCGATTGCAGAGCCTCACGACAACATGTTCCATTCTGCTCAATGAATCGATTGGGAACCTGACTGAAGCCTTTCGGACCCCGCTTGTTGTAGCGTAGGTGCAGTGACGCCACAGGGCCCCGAAGGTTACACGAACAAGACATTTGTCGAACAAGGCTATTTGGCATGCAATCCCGTGTTATGCAAGCCAGCCAATAACACAACACCGTCTCTGACCCAAGGCTTTATACTGCGACATGTTCGCAGAAAGGTTGATGCAGATCGTATTCAAAAGGGCTCACTGTTGGTTGGGCCTTGCTGCAAGATGCGCTCCGATCATTCTTCGTCTACCATCCCGATAGCCTCAGTGTAGTTGCAGGCATATATGCCATCGCCATGAATTTTGTCAGTGCTTGAGCTATCAGTGCTTTGGCTGAAGGTTACGTCGTAAGAGAAGGACCTCGCAGCCTTGCTTGGCCCCTAGATAAAATTAGGTGGTTTGGCCTGTTGGGTCCCAGTCAGAACACCAAGACTCGGCGCTTAGATGTAAGGGTTACGTTTGCCTGCTCAGTCGCATCTTCCATCCTCATTGGACATTTTGCGAAAGTAAAGGCGATCAGGATGGCAGTATCGGTTTCACCGGGGAACGGCCCCCTTTACACAACGATAGGATGCGACAGTCCCTGTTGGCTTATGCAAGTTACTTCCCTGAGAGAAACTCCACACTGGGGCTTTCATGCATTTTCTCCTCTGATACGAAGTTACTAAGGCTTTGTCATAACATGTCTTCACATTATACGAATATCGACCTCGCCGAAGCTCAGACAAGCGGCTTGAACCAAGTTGCCAACAGGGGAGAAAACTTCAATACACAAATTCACCGCGAGGAAAACCATGGAGGTGCCCATCAGAGCAACCACTTCAACCCTTCCGTCTCTTTTCGACAGCACAAAGCCGTTGCCATAGTTGGAATAGTAGCACTCGTTGCAATCCTCTTTGGCGTGATATTCGGAGTTATATATGGAATGAAGAGTCAGGCGGATCGAGCCAACGATCATTCTGTGAGTAATGCATGCTCATACTAGCAGCGGCATACTAATACACCCAGACGCTCACAGCTTCCATGCCGAGCTCGCCCGTCAGCATCTCCACCTTCGCTGACTCCATCTCGACCGCCGTCGAGGAAGGAAGATCATTTTCACCCACGCAAACCTTCCAAACTCCACCTCAATCCCAACCCCCAAGTGCCGAAATCACGCCGAAGCCCTCAATTTTGCCCCCCAAGGCAAAATGTGAAGTAAATGCGGACTGCGGGTCGGGCCTGTATTTCTGTCACACCAGAAAAGATACCTATACTGAAGAGTCAATAACTAAGACGACAAAAACCTGCTGCGCACCGACGGTATGGGGCTGTCCAGGGTACGACTGTAAGGCATCGAGTTTTGATGGTTGCTTGGATCCTTATAAGTGTCACACTGTGTCGAGTACTTGTATTTATGAATTTTATGAATGAAAGCATAGATGGGAGGTGGCGCATAGGCGGCGTATTGTATACCAATGTTTTTGTTTGTTCGTTAGTGATACCTTGGCTGGTGGAATTCTCTTGAGAGTTTTAGAGACGATATCATCCTGATGACTAGCATATGATTGATGCTGCACGGTACAGGGGAATAATGTGATATTGTCAAGTACCGCGTGAGTGCGTAACTCTTATCCGTTCCATCTTACCACACCCCGCCCAACTATCTGAGGCGCAGCATTGTAAGATCAAATCACCGCTGTCACCAGCAGAAAACCAACCGGCTATCGCATGTTATTCATGTGGCGAACGCACAATGTAAGAAGTAAGTGTGTAGTCATCACGCGCAACCCACGGAGGAACACATACGAGATCGGATCATTGAGAAACTTGTGCGACAAGCGCTATCAATTCGATATCTACTCCTCCACCACCCCATCCGCACCCTATCAAATGCGTAATCAGACCAACCACCAGAAAAGTCCCCCCGCCCCCCAATGCAAACCGTGCATGCATCTCCCAACAAACAGAACAAGGAAAAGATGGGTCATAGTACATGAGTAGGGTAATGAGGAGAACGCGTAAAGAATGCCATAACCTCCAAGAGATAAATGCGTGCCAACGCGACGCTCAGATGAACCTCCCTGTCTGCGCCGAACACCGTGCGCGATACCAGCCAAACGGACCAACTTCCCCACATAAAGATGGGTATTTACACATTATGCCAACGCTCAACGACGCGCTTGTGTCTGCGAGAACCAATCGTCTTGTGTGGAGTGGTACTGCCGCCGTAATTCGGCCTCTTCTTCTTCTTGGCTTGACTTGAGAATCTCTTGCATCGTCTCGATGTCTTTGATGATGACGTTGAACGCCTCGGTGACCTCCTTGAGGACGAGGTTGCGATTATAGTCTGAACGGTGCTTCCAAATGGCATCCATGAGCGCGGCGTTGATCTGCTCTAACTGCTCGAGCGAACATCCAGATGTCGAGCGGACCAGTTTGTCATGCAGCGCAATGACCATACTGTCGTCGAGGATGAGCTGCGGCTTCGGCTCCTCGTCATTGAGAATCTGGTTAAGATTCGAGTGGTGCGGGGGTGCAGGCGCAGGCATGGAAGTAACATGCTGAGACGATTGAGAAGGTTGCGATGGCTGCGAGTTCGATGGCTGGCTGCTGACGTAGTGGACTTCTGTATTTGAAATGTGGTCAGTGTTGTGCTCTGGGGAGAAGCGAGTGGAGACCTGGAGTCGCTGGTGGAAGGGGGTTGGCGAACCTTGTGTGTCGGGAAGCTGCGACCCGTTGGGCTCCGGCATCATCTCTGAGAAATTGGGGACGCCAGATGGTGCAGCGCCGTTGCTACTCTGAGTGCCAAACTTATTGTCCGAAGACCTGTTCGAAGTCTTCTGACCAGAAGTCGTTGTGGAGGCACTGTTGTGGTAGTCGTTGGGATGCGAGTTCGGTGCCATGAAGGTCCGCCCGGACATCTGTGACTTCTGCGTTTGGGTTCCCTGGCCCTCAATTCTACTCGGTGTCTGGAATTGGAAGTCGTGTTGTGTGTTGGTATTCAGATCCTGACTGTCAGTCATATGAGTGTCGTCGTTGGAAGGCGCAGTAGAGCCATTCGTTGCATGCTGTGTACCTTCGCCACTCGTCCCATTGGATAGACCTTCAGCGTGAGGGGCTCGCAGCGGGGTTACCGGTGGCATGGCCAAACGGCCAGGAACAGGCTCACCCAGAGTGATAGGCCCTGAAGTTTCAGTGGTACCGATGGACTGTTCTGGAGGTACGCGCGCAACATCTTCGAAATCCTTGTTTGCGGCGATGGCTCTTTCCCGCTTCTCTTGCGCCTTCCTCTCCCTCTCAAGTTCGCGCTGGTAGACCGCTTCACACTCTTGGAGGAGCCCAGGGTTTTGGTGCATGAAGAAATTGTCCAGATCAACCTCGACGTTTGTGATCATCTCATTGCCCTTTAGGGTTCGCTCGGCATCTCCGAAAGTCCTCGCGTCCTTTACAAGAGTCTTGATATCGAAGAGGTAATCTGCAGGGCGCTTGTAGTAACCATTGGACAGGCGCTTCTCGATCGTACCGAGGTCCAGATTGTAGTATTTGTTGCCGCTGTCGACGTGTAGCAAAACGTCAACGCCTTTGGAATCCTTCGAGAATTCCCACGGACGGACAACGCCTTGCTCTTCTTGTTGCTCACGTGGCAGGTCTGATCGCACATGATCAGAATCTTGCTCCTCGAGCAGGTAGGCATACCAGGATTCTTCCAGAATTGGCTTAAAGAATTTCCTGTGACTCCTCTTCAGTTGATCCATGATGGGCTGAATGACAATCTTCATCTTGTTGAGGGTGAGCCTATCCTGTTTCTTTTGCGCCTTCTCGCGGGCGGCAAGTTCCTTAGGGTCAACCACTGGAGCAACGATAGGTGCAGCCTCGAGTTCAGGTAAGATTCGCTTCTTCCTGTTATCCGGATCAGGAAAGTCTGCTGGAGACATGCGGATGTAGTGACTGATGCTGTTGAAGAACTCTGCTCGCCCTTCTTGGTCTGGCCGCATAAGATGGAACTGATTGGATTGTGAGAAGGAGAAAAGATCCATCATCATCTGGCGATCAGGCTTCTCCTTCTCATTGAGCAATTCCATGACACCCAGCAGCATGATCGGTTCATTCGCGCCAACGCTTCGCAGTAGTAGCTTGAAGGTCTTAATAGCTTGGGCAGGCAGTGTCTGATACCAGACATCGACTGAAGGGATGTAGATGACACTAGGCTTGTGCCGCCTGACCTCTGTAAACAGCTGGGTAATGGCTGCCTCAGGTGCTCGCGTGGAGTCCTCAAGAATAGTGGGAAGGTCGAAGGACTGAACATGCAGACCTTCAATTTTGTTCAAGAGAGCAGCACCAAGATATTGCTGGCCCATACCTTGAAGACCGCTAATGAGCAAACGGGGTCTGAAGATTCTGCTGCTCTCGAAGTTGCGCATGGTGGCTTCGCGTTCGAAGCCCTTTTCGTCGTCGCGGTCATCGTACGCTGCTTCCTCGAGTGCGCTGAGTTTCTTCCTCCGTGGGATGAGTTCGTCTATGCGCTTAAGGATTGCGGCTAGTGGCTTCCGTAATAATGGCTCGATGTTCTTTGCCAGTGGTGCTGCACTAGCCGTGACTGTTCGTTGAGAAGATGGCACCATCTTGTTGACTGAGATCATGAAATCCTTTGCTAGGATCTTGATGGTGCTGGGATCAATCAGAAGCTTTTTTTCAGAAGTGTAAATCTGAGGGTAAGTCCCCTGTACGGCATTGAGAGCCGCTTCTGTGCAAAGCGCCCGAAGGTCGGCACCTCCATAACCCTTGGTTAGTTCGGCAAGTTGATCCTTCATTTCCGGCTTCAGAGGTGGCTCCCAGTTCTTAGTGTGGATGTTAATAATGGAACGTCGGCCCGCAACGTCTGGCAACGGGAAGTAGAACTCGCGGTCGAATCGTCCAGGACGTCGCAGTGCAGGGTCTACGGAATCAGGACGATTGGTGGCGCCTATCACGATGACTTGTCCGCGACCATCCATACCATCCATAAGAGCGAGTAGAGTAGCGACAATCGAGGCGTGGATTTGCTCTTGCTTACTAGAGCGAACAGGCGCCAGTCCATCGATTTCATCGAAGAAGATGATACTTGGCTGGGTTTTCCGCGCCTCCTCGAACAGCAGACGAAGCTGCCTTTCAGCCTCTCCAACCCATTTACTCAGGGCATCAGCACCCTTGCGCATGTAGAAGGTGACCTTCTGTCCATGAGTGCTGACGCTCGAAGCGAGAGCTCTGGCAAGAAGCGTCTTACCAGTACCGGGCGGACCGTGGAACAAAACACCTCGTGGCGGGGTGATCTTGAAGCGTTGGAACACCTCAGGATATAGCAACGGAAGCATGACCATCTCCTTGAGCTTGTTGATGTGGTCGTCCAGTCCACCGACACCATCAAAGTTAACGTTCGGGTCAACTCCAAGAGGGTCTGAATCTGCAAGAGCCTTCTTGTCTTTGACCTTGCCCAGATTGGCGGGGCCGCCGCCAGAGTCTTGCTTCGGATCTGCATTGTGAGTCTGAGGGAACCCGAAAGTGGGCGCGGTCGCGGTGGTTGGCGTCATGCCAATTGCGCCGCCGACGGGCTTGGGCATCTTCTGGTTCTCATCGTCGCTACTATCGGAATCACCACCTGCAGCTCCCATGCCAGCCTCGACGCCACCACCGAAGGGGCCCTGACTACGCCACAGGCTTTTGTATGTAGACCGTCCACCTCTTGCCCTAGGTCGCTCCGGAGCAGGGCCATCATCGTCGTCGTTCTCGAAGACAGCGTTCTGCTCGGGTCGAACAACACGGTAATCCACGCCTGCGGCGCGAGCGCGGCGTTTGGGCGCTTCCTCATACGCCACGTCCTTGTCAGGATTACGTCGGGAGAGGCGCCGTCGTTTGTTGTACTCCAAGTCTTGTAGCTCATCCTGCAGTTCGTCTTGGTCTAACCCTGACTCTTCGGAAGAAGAGTTGCGCCTGCTACGCTGTGACTGCCGGGTCTTCCCTCGTTGGCGGGTCGATCGCCGCCCAGAGCCTGACGCACTTTCGGATGCAGACTGCTTCTCCTTTTCGTGTTCCGACTCGGACATTTCCTCTTCTTTTTCGTCGTCTGCTGCAGGTTCAAAGTCACTGCTTTCATCGGCGCCTCGTTTACGTTTGGCTGAAACAGCACGGTTCTGGAAAGGGACGTTAGTAACGGAAAGCACACATAGCTAGTCAGACATACCCTGGTGTTACGACCGCCACGGGTGACGGGCCCTTCCTCTTCGGAATCCTCAGCTGCGGCTTCGTCGTGCTGGGACTCTTGGATGACACCTTCCATATCATCATCGTCCTCGCCCTCGGCATCGTCCTGTTGGGCTTCTTGCGCAGGTGAACTGTCCTTGCTGGCTTTGACTTGGGTCTCTTCGTCGACGAGAAGCGCGTCGAGGGGACCAGGGCTGTCATCGCGTATCATCGACGTCTCCTGGGAGGCCTCCATGATAGCGCTGGGATGTTGGACTCGCGGGCCTTTGCCGCCTCGAGTGGCACGGGCGATGACGGGCTCAGGGCTGCGCGTGCCTTCGCGCACGACCTTGACGTGCCTGCCGGAATCCGAAAGCTGGACAATGGGCTCCTCCACATCGTGCGACAGGCGGGTACTGCGTCGCGTGCCATGCACTTCAGGTGTCTTTCCGCGCGCAAGGGATTTGCTGCCTGTGCGAGTGCGCAGATTGCGACCGGAGGCGTGGTCGGGCATCTTCAGCTTCACGATGAGCGAAGGCTTCTCGACCTCTTCGATGGACGGCTGCGCGCGGCGTCGCGATGCGGGCTTAGGCGAATCGTCTTCGGATGGCGTATCTTCGATCTCGTCCTCGCTCTCCTCGTACTTGATCTGCTTCTTGGTGGCGCGGCGCACGCTTCTGCCTGTCGCCGGGTTGATCTCGGGCTCCTCCGACTCGGAGCGCTCTGAGAAGGAATCTTCGGACTCTATCTCGTCGTCTTCGTCAATGTCAGAGCCGCCGTATGCGCGTCGCTGGCGCTTGGAAGACTTCTTCTTAGCTCCAGGCGTGTGTCGGGTGCGGCGCCGTTGGGGCGCGGCGCGTTTTTCCGAGTCGTCGTAATCGTAGTCGTCCGGGTCGGAGGCGTTGGGGTCGATGTCGAACTTGCGCTTCGCTCGGCTAGACATGGGGACTCGTTGCGGTGAGGCCTAATGCGGTCCTGCGGGATGTTGTGAGTGCGCGGCCCCGGGGATGCGTCGCGGTGAGAGCGCGCTTACACCGCCTGTGTGGATTTTACAAGCTCCAAGATGGCATTAGATGCAGGGGAACCGTCTCCTGCATGTGCGCCGATGATGGCGAAGGTGTGCGCGATGCCGCCTGGCGTGTCGCCTGGGCGTCGTGTTGTTGTGAATGTGGGAACGATGTCGAGCGCGCGATGCACCGGTCAAGACGACGCAGAACTCAAAGAAAGCGGCTTCAAACAGAATCAGTGCCCTGATAAATGACACTGAGAAGCGAAATAGTCGAGATAGACAGACGTGGTCGAGGGGCGTGTGGTGTTGGGGTGCGATCGCGAAGGCCCGTCCAATCCTAAGCGCGCTAAACCCCAACCTGAATTCAGAGCAAGGAACACTTTTTAGATGCACAACCACAACAATAGCGAACGCCTTTATTTCTCGACTTTTAACAATACAAAACGTGTCAAAATGCACTGCAAAAGTCGAGTTGATATCCAGAGAGCAAATTCCGCAGCTTTTCGGGAGTCTTCCGCCACGTCTTGGACTGCTATTTGAGCCCTTTCTTTTCGACTTGCAGCTCTTGCTGCTGTCGGTTCCTGCATGATCGACATGCGGCTCTAAAAGCTTAACGCGTTTAGAGCTCGCTGCCATGTGTGGGGAAGAGCGAACTATGCACGTGCACCACATGCTGGAGCGACCCAGTTCAACGCCACCCCTGAGCAATCAACCCATGACGCATAAGCCTGGAATTAGTTTGCATTTGCCAGGGATTGGATATTTGTTTCGTTGTACATATGTCATACACGACTGTTGTTGTGGTCGTCGGAAGACGTCCATACTCCCGCGGTGACCGATAGCATTCTCAAACAGCGCAACTTACATGTTGATAATTCTTTGCTGGAGGCATTGGTTTTCATCGAACAATTGTTGTGTTTGTGCGTTCAAGGTGCATGTTAGGGTGGGTGCCTTCGTACCTTCCAAGGTTGTAGGGTGGTTGCTCCATGTTGCCGCGAACATCGACTAGACTTAGGCCACATTCGCCCTGGGCGCTGTCTGAGTTTGTTTGTAAAGGAATTCCAGGAAAATCATCGTCACTTTTACGCTGAATTATGCGACCTTAAGCGCCAACGCCGTCGGGTAGAATATTGGTGAGTCTTGGAGCTTCCACACTCGTGCATCGTCGGGGCCCATCAATTGATCTCGACAATCGCTAGAGACCAGCGCCGAATAGGCCCCACGATAATGAGGAAGGAACAGTCCAACCACTTTCGATACCAAATCCTTTCCAAGTCAGCAATCAACCGCCCTCTTCTAGTCCAGCTTACACAGGTATACTCAGCATGCCTCACTAATGTCGCAACGCTCTATCTCCGAACAAAGTACACGCTCTTGACGCTGTATACGCCATATACGCGAACACTCTGGCTAGCATGTCACCCTTCCTTGAAGGAATGGCAAAAGTTACTGGAGTTTCGCATGCAGATTCTTCAAATGGAAGCTCTTTGATACAGAACTCATTATTCTTACGTTGTCATTGAGCACTGCGGAGCTGCCTCCGTGCTGTCCGCATCCATCCCACCAGAACAAGCCGAACCCCGCAGTTTGGCCATAGCTCTGCCCAACGTCATAGGCTCCCAAAGCTCCGCCAGACCTATCTGAATATTAGTCTACGAGAGATTGACGTCTTCGGGTGGGCTAAGCTATCTTTATTCCCACGCGTGCCGCCTTTAGAGTGGCCGAGTTCGCGGTAGTTTATAATCGATCTTCACACCCACTTCCAGACGCCATGCGCTCTATTGTGACAGCAACTCGATCTCTCGGACGTCAACAAGCTTACAGAAGTCACTTCCAGAAGAGATCCCTACCATCAATCGTCTCTCGAGGATACGCAAATATGGGCCATTCAGTACCACCAGTATGTTCCTGCTTCGTTTGCGCCATCATCCGCAACGACCAGTTACTGACCGCATACAGCTCAACGACAAGTCTCTGTTGAAGAACCAGACATATGTCAACGGAGAATGGATAGACGCAAAGTCAGGCAAGACCTTCGAGGTCAATGGTATTCCAGCCCCACCAATCCTTTAGAAACCCTCTAACACACGGCAGACCCAGCAACAGGCAAGCTCATAGGCACCATGCCTGAGATGGACCGCGCAGACACCGAAGCCGCCATCGCAGCAGCAGCCGCCGCACTCCCTTCCTTCCGCAAACTCACCGGTCGCGAGCGCTCACGGCTCCTACGAAAATGGTACCAATTGATGATGGACAATGCGGATGATCTGGCGAAGCTCATAACCTGGGAGAACGGAAAGCCCATGGCAGACGCTAAGGGAGAGGTCAACTACGCCGCGAGCTTCTACGAGTGGTTCGCAGAAGAGGCACCGCGCATGTACGGAGCCACCATTCCGGCGACCGTGACCGGTAACCGAGTGTTCACAATCAAGGAGCCTGTTGGTGTTGTTGGATTGATCACACCGTAAGCCTCGCACTTGATTCGGAGGGATTATGGCTAATGCTGTCAGATGGAACTTCCCCGCAGCTATGATCACGAGAAAGATTGGACCAGCTCTGGCAGCTGGTTGCACCGTCGTCGCAAAGTCTCCCGGTGAGACGCCTTTTACAGCGGCTGCTCTCGCCGAGCTTGCGCACCGAGCTGGAATTCCCAAGGGTGTCGTCAACTTCGTTACCGCACTTAAAAACACACCTGAAGTCGGCGAGACAATCACATCGAGCAAGACTGTCAAGAAAGTGTCATTCACAGGATCGACCGGTGTCGGCAAGCTTCTGATGAAGCAGTCGTCGGATACACTCAAGAAGCTCTCGTTCGAGCTCGGTGGAAATGCACCCTTCATCGTCTTCGACGACGCCGACCTGGAGACAGCCGTGACCGGAGCTATCACATCCAAGTTCCGATCTTCAGGCCAAACTTGCGTATGCGCCAACAGAATTTATGTTCAGTCCGGCATTTATGATGAGTTCTGCACAAAGTTCACCGAAAAGGTTAAGAGCTTCAAGGTTGGTGGCGGCTACGAAGAGGGCACTACACACGGGCCTCTCATCCATGACCGTGCCGTCGACAAGGTAGACGCCCACGTCCAGGATGCCGTCAAGAACGGCGCCAAGGTCCTGTTCGGTGGACAAAAGCTACCTGATCTTGGTGAGAACTTTTACCAACCCACAGTCCTCCGCGATATGACCAAGGACATGCAGCTTGCCAAAGATGAGACCTTCGGCCCTGTTGCCGGACTCTTCCCCTTCGATACCGAAGCCGACGTTGTCAAGCTAGCCAATGCAGCTGACGTAGGACTTGCGGGCTACTTCTTCAGCAAAGACATCCAGCGAGTTTACAGGGTAGCTGAAGCGCTGGAGGTTGGTATGGTTGGTGTTAACACCGGTCTCATCTCCGATGCTGCGGCACCTTTCGGAGGCGTGAAAGAGTCTGGCTTTGGACGAGAGGGAAGCCATCTTGGTATCGATGAATACATTGTCACAAAGACGATCACAATGGGCGGTAATGGCCAGCCGCTCCAAGGAGAGTAGAGGATCAATACAGACTGATTTGCGCCGAGGGGTCGAGAAGCCCCGCCACACGTAGCTTCATTTCCTTAGTGCGTGTGACAAGAAGTACAGATCATGAGGAGGTTTGTGCTCGAGGCTCGACAGATACTGCAGTGCAGAACCATTCGTCAAGTTCCTGGGGAAGGAATGTGCCGTGCACGTTGCAAAAAGAACTATCGAAGGGAGCCGCTAGCGTGTCATGTTCGCGACTTTGGAGTTTAGCGTAACGCGTAGCCCAGCGCAACGCGTGCCTGTGCCATCCTGTCCTTGCGGCCGTTTAGTAGGTACCCATCGAGTATTTTGCTTGCTTCTCAATTCTCTATAAGATTAATAGTATCGAGTAACCTTGCAACGACGGCATTTCAAACAACTAATGGCATCGTCGATTTCACATTCCTTCCTTCGACGATCCTTACCTACCGGTGCCATTTCCGACACACATCCCTGATAGCATCACTTTCGGCCGTTTACCCCTCTCCGCCACATCCACGCCAAAGCACGTTAAGAACAGGCCGAACACCCAGTTCAGACTTTGTCACTTTTAGCTCATTCATAACTATAATGGCGCACGTTTCGTACGACCAAAGCCATGTCTACATCAGGTCGGAGGCAGGCCTCGACCAAAAGCAAACCTTAACTCCCGGACCGAGTCCGACGATGTCAGCTGCACCGTTTCCGCCAGGTCCGAGCAATGTCAAGAGGGAGCAGACTCCGAGCAACATGAAGATGGATCAGACTCCGGAGCCATATAATATCAAACAAGAATAATATCACCAGCGGGAACGAGAGAGCACTGTTGGCACCATGGATGCGACCACACGCACGACGAACTGGGTACTACAGGGGAACAACGTCACTGTCGGTCAGGCCGTACCAACCTCTCAGTCAGCCTTTTCGACACCTGCTCCAGCTAGCCAGGCGGCGACTGCCCCAGCTACTCAGACGACGGCAGCTCAAATCACTCAAAACTCCATGGCGTCTAGTAGATACGCCCAACCAGAAATCAACGCCGACCCCTCTCCCGCGGCATTGAACCGTCTGGCATCCAAGCGACTCCTCGAAGATGATTCTTTCTGTACAGGATCACCAACAAACAAGCGTATCAAAGCCGAGCCATCCTCCTCAGTCTCCGGCACCGGCGTTCCTCGCATCAAGTTGGAGCCCTCCAGCTCCCACACAGAAACCCGTCCCATGCACCGCGCACCCGAGAACGACATAATCGAAATCATCAAGACATGCACAAAAGTCAACCTCAGACCTTTCGAACTCGAGTACCTCAGCAAGATCCAAACTAGAATCGACTGGGTCTTCAACCATGGCGCAAAGTCTTTCGACATCCTTTCCGAGATCAAGGCAATGCCAAATAACCCGCCTCATTCCTACACGTTTAGTCTCAAGCCCGAACAGAATCGCCGCATCGGCGAATTGCAGAAGAGGATGAAGGACGCTCAGACTCAATTTAATGCTCAGGGCGTGAAAGCTAATCCAACATCGACTCCTAAGGGCAGGAAGATCAAGAATTGTCGGGCGAGGACTATGAAGTCACCGTCGGTGTCTGCAGAGCAGGGATTCAAGGTTGAGAAGCTCTTGGGCATGTTGATGCTGAATGACGAGTCTGGGGCTGCTGTTGCTCAAGCGGCGTCCAACTTGCTTGCTAGTAGGGGGCTGAAGTTTACTTTGTGTGGGAAGGAGCTGCGGTTGGTGGAGATGTAGATGCAATCGCGGTGCTGTTGGATGTTTGGTACTTTCTTTTAGGGAATCTGTAGCCAAAATGGCTTTTTTGTGCTACTAGTAGTAGGAGCGGGCTCTCTGGGTTTTGTGCAGGTAGACTCGTGGTCTTTGTCAAGCACTCTTTTATAGTTTCATTTGTTGTACCTATGTAGTCTCTGTTCGATGAAACATTGAATCTATTGAAACATCTCAATTACTTTCTTGGCTGTGTCGCTATAGGTCTCGTGGTCGCTGAGCGAGAAGCTCTTGATGAGCGTCTACATGGACACTGATAACGGAGCACCATCAGCACCTCAGCACCTCAGCACCTCAGCGACCCTTCGACTTCTATCCCATATGGAAGCTCGGCGGATGGCCGATCTGCGTAGAGATCGTAGTTTGTGTCAAGGAACACCGGACCATGTGTGGCGCAACGCGCATGCAGCATAAATACCCAACGTCATCGTCCCCGCACAATCCAGGGGAAAGCGATTTGTCGCTGTGACCATTTGGGGCCATAGATACCATCCAAAAAGTATCAGACCTTGTATTGAGCTCAAGGTCAACAAATATGATCAAAAGAATATCGATCCGAACACCATTCCCATAAATTTTCCTGATAGTTGCAGGACATCCCCTCACAGTCGGCTGCTAGCGCGTTGCACTCGCGACCGAAGTTTAACAGGGCACAACGCGCATCCGCAACCCACCGTTCGCAACTTGTCGCACATGTCAAGCACCGTCACCCGTCGACTCTGAGTGACGCGCACAAGATCGCAAGAGGTACTGCAACAGATACTGATAATAAAAAGCAACTCCATCGACTGCCCGCTTCCGGTGCCCTTTCCGAACGTCCAGCGGTCGCACCTTCCACCTCAACTTACATTCGGCAATCGCCTACAATACACGTCATGATGCGCTGGCTGAGAGGCAGCACGGCGGCAGGAACACCAGGCGCAGAGGAAGGAATTGGGAAAGAAAATGTCATGCCAATGGCATCAGACAACGTCAATGCCGCGGGCGCGGAGGATGAGGTTGAGACCTCGAAGAAGCCGTTGCGCAACGCCCCGCGCCGTGCTGCAGCGAAACCCAAGAAGAACGCTCCTGCCAAAGCTTCGCCCGCGAAGGCAGCGACTCCCCTACGCCGATCCACGCGCGCGCAATAGAGAAAGAGCGGGGGCTTCTTCGACGCGGCTCAGGAAGCCACGCCAGACCCGATGTCAATCGCCTCGATAATAGATGCACCTCCGACATCGACACCACCACATCCCGAATTCAGCGCTACCGACGAAGCACAGATGTTACAAGATCTGGAGAACACAGACGAGAGTCATGTCTCGGCGAGTGAGATGGGGATGCCACGTCAGGTCATCTTCCACACTCACCCAGACGAGACGGTGGCAGAAGATGCAAGTGGAGAGCCAGCGGCTGAGACGTCTGCGTCTCTGCGAGATGATGTCGCTTCAGAAGAGGCTGTCCCTGTACAGGAGACTGCTGCTGTACAGGAGACTGCCACTTCACGAGCGACAGAAGACAATCACTCGTTTTACTCAGCTACGCCGGCTTTCGATTATGCCAGCCAGAACTCGACGCTTCCTGTAGATAACCTAACAATCTCCGCGACCGGCACATGCTACGTTCCATCATCGATCCGTCCCGATGGCTCCATCCGTAGAGAGATTCGAATTCGTCCCGGCCACGCCTCATCGGTGCCTACGAATACGGAACCTAACATCAAATTCATCCCAAACCTATCGGCATCTGAGGCACTCCCATCACAAACCGACATCGCTCAGTCGTCAATTCCAGCCCCGTCGACCTCGAACCAACCGAATGAGTCCTTTACAAGCCACAGAGCTATACGCCCAGGAGGATTCCTTACTAGCAGATACGCAGACGTCCCAGCTGCAACACTAACACAAGCGTCGGGTTTCACTACGCCGTTCTCCGCATATGCAGCAAATGTCAACTCAGGGAAACGTCGACATGTCGAGGAAGAGAACGAGGGACCATCGGGTTTTCAGGATGAGCGCTCAGCGAAACGCATGCGTACCACGAACAGTCGCGAGTCCATAGGTGACCGCCGTACGGCAGTTCCTCAAATACTTCCCAGCCCTTATGACAGATACGAATGGGCGCTTATCAATGACAACATGAGGGATAGCCAGGATCAAAGCATGGTCTCTGAACCTGAAGAGACGCCAGAACGGTCAATTGTTGGTCAAGACATCGTCGATAGAGAGCCAGTAATCAAGACTGAGCCCGTTGACGATGCACCAAGCAAATCAAATGTGATCCCACCAGCTCCCCAACCCCCTCTGACGCCAGCTCAGTCCAATTCACCAAGTGTACGACAGCCACCGACCGCATCAATAGCAACACAACGTCCAACCCTGCATGCTCCGGTCTCAGCTCCCGAGCATATCAATCTTTTTGATCTCTGCATACCACGCTGCGGCAACCGCCGACCGACACAGGTTGAGCTAAATAAAATCAGAGAAATAGAAATAAAGACAGCGCTGATATTGAGTGGTCATAAGGAGAAAGTCGACATTCTAGGCCAACTCCCGCCTTGGATGCGGGTCAATATTTCGAGGAAGCAAAGACAGCTGATTAACGATCTCGTGAGGCGTATCAAAGCAGCGAAAGCAGGCCAGCATAGCTATGCCGACGTGAGAAGTTTCAACGCCATCCCGAGTGGGTCTACGCCAGCACCCACAAGAGCCACAGCAGTACCAGTCACACAGACATACCAGCAGACATCTGTCATGGCCGCGCCAACACCACCCCAAGCTCAATTGTTGGCACCTCAACAAGCCCGTCAACCCTACGGTCTCGACCCCCTCAAGTACGAGAACACATTCGGTCCAGCTCTGGTATACAGCGCACTGGAACAAGTCAACAATATGCTAGGAGCCTTTGGAGTCAACGCACGCTGTTACCCCAGTGGCATGGACTCGATAACTCTAAAGAACCAAAGTATAGAGCCGCCTCCTCCTCCGACTGGCTGCATGCTTCTTTCACTGGAGAACATGCCCTACGTCAAACTGGCTGGGCCGGCTCTGGTGAACCACGCGTTACACCAGGTCAACGACATGACCAGCTCATTGTGGCCTGGACAGTTTGTGTTGCATGGGAAGGATATGCTGCTGTTGCAGTTGTAGTTTGTTGCATCGTGGCGATAGTACTGTAGTTATCTTCGAGCTTTCAATGGCAACAAGATACTTGTGGTATAAATTCTCTTCTTGTATAATATCAGTACCGTTTCCGCGGGTCCAGACTTTCTCATGATAGTTCAGAGTACCTTGAACATCTAATGAAATTACTTATCAGAATCCTCTGGTGATTCGCAAAACTTCTGATCACACATACATGAACAATGCGGTAGCACGTTGACATACTGCCGTCACTTCAAAGTAGACGCGCTTTCGCAAGACAAACCACATGGAGTGTCATGACTTCAAGGTCATCATTGAAAGTTGTTCATTTTCATGCCGGTGTACCCAGCACTATCGTTGGATACATACGTGAGGTCCTGAATGTAATACCCCGCGCCATAACCCTGAATGCTAAAAAGAACCCATGCAGAAACACCCTCTAGTACCTCTTACCCTCGCGGAGGATGTCGCTGTACTCCTCAAGCGGGGATGGTGTGAGCTTCTTCTCCGCCCACAGGTTGGGGGTGAGGAAACCGTAGGTGTGTGCGACGGCGACGAAGGTAGCCTTCAGGGTGTTCTCAAGGGTCTTGGTGGAACCGGAAGAGGCAGTGTAGATGTCGGCGACACCAGCCAATTGTAAGAGACGCTTGACGGCGGGCGATGCGACAAGGCCGGTACCACGGGGAGCGGGAATGAGACGGACAGTGACGGAACCGCACTTTCCGCTCTCCTTGGTGGGGAGCGAGTGAGGCTCACCAAGGTTGGTACCCCAGTAACCTCTTCGGATGGGGACGACGGAGAGCTTGGCGATGATGATGGCGGCGCGGATGGCGGTTGCGACTTCCTTGGAGGTCTTGATACCGAGACCAATGTGACCCTCGGAGTCACCGATGACGACGATAGCCTTGAAGCGGGTACGCTGACCGGCACGGGTCTGCTTCTGGACGGGCTTGATCTTCATGACCTCGTCCTTGAGCTTGGGAAGGAAGAAGTCGACGACCTGGTATTCCTTGATGGGGAGAGAGTGGAGGTAGCTGCCCACAGTCAGTAAATATTCCCACCCCATTGTCGCCTCAGAACGTACATCTCCTCCATGCTCTTGATCTTGCCAGCCTTTACGAGACGGCCGAGCTTGGTGACGGGCTGCCATTCCTTCTCCTATGCCAATTGTCAATTTCCCGCGCTTTGTGCCTCCAAGATATTTTGTATGCGTACTTCGGTCTTTCCGCCACGGCGGCCACGGCCACGTCCGCGACCACGTCCACGGTCACCACCGCGGTCTCCACGAGAACCGAATCCGCCGCGAGCGGGGGCAGGAGCGTCAGCCATGATGTATGTTGGTGGGGTATACGGCTGCTGGAGTTGCGATTAGCGACGGCTGAGAGGGTGAGGAGAGGTGGGAGAGCGTACGATTTGGAGTTCCTGGGAGTTAGTGCGTGCTGTTGTCGCGGTCGCACTTGCAACTTTCGATATTGAAATGCTCGCTTAGGTCGTGGATGACGCTAGCCGCATGTGGCTTGGCGCAGCCAGGCTGCATATGGGATGCCCAAGTGAATAGTCCCCGGGTGATCACCACAACTCCAAAGCGCAATTCTTGGAGACTTTGCTGCTGCGTGTAGCTAAATGATTCCCTCTATGCATCGATAGAGTCTTCATACCCCAAGGTGCAACATTCGGAAGTCATTTGCCAGGTACTTCACGGGAACTTGCAAGCACGACAATATGTCTCTAGCTTGCCAGCGTAGCTACTCCTCACGAAAATCCCTCAAGATTGATCGCATCTTGTGCTCTACTTGAACGTTTTGCCGATTATCATTGCGTGTGATGCTCCCAAGCTGTCTGAGA